TACCATGTTTCTCTTTTATTAGTGTAGATAATATGTTAATACTATAAATATAATATATGATATAATACATACATAAATACATTTATCTCCATATACTATAAAGAATATATTACATATATATTGCATATATTGAGAGGTAAATATATATATATAAAGATATAAACATACATACACATACATGTAGTAAGTGATTGAAAAAAATGTAATGCCCCAAAACAAGGAATTTGAACTGAGCATTTGACCAAATGTCATATGTGTTTGTTTCCCTGGTTGTGTATAAAACACACCTCTCCATGTGATAATATGTACACAGATACTAGTACAATACGTGATTTATGCCCTGCTTCTCACATGGTGCATCTGTATACTAAGGAGAGAATGAACATCTGCTTTATCTTGATACTATATCTTTAGCTACTTCTGTTTGTGGTAATGTATTGATTTCCAAACATCATACTTTTAATTTTAAACTAAAATCAACTTTTTAGAAAACTCTCAGTCAGCTAAACTATTGGCACATTTAGCAGGGTATTTTTTAATGCGAAAAGTTTATTCTATAAGATAAAGTTACAGAGAAGATTGCATTCTCCTCACAGCTCTGCTGTGCCACAGAATTCAGAGTCCTAGGTTACCATGCTGATGGAATCAATCTTCAAAATATATTTAGTTCTTTTTATGACAGTTCAAACTGTTTGTTGCTTTCTTTACTTTGTTAGTAAAACGTTATTGTGATATTAGCACTTTACTGTGTAGCATCCTGTCCTCTCTTATTAAGCTAAACTTACAGAGAAGATTGCATTCCCCTCACAGCTCTGCTGTGCCACAGAATTCAGAGTCCTAGGGTACCATGCTGATGGAATCAATCTTCAAAATATATTTTGTTCTTTTTATGACAGTTCAAATTGTTTGTTGTCTTCTTTGTTAGTAAAACATGATTGTGATATTAGCACTTTACTTTGTAGCATCCTGTCCTCTCTTATTATAACAATAGAGGCCCGGTGCATGAAATTTGTGGATGGGTAGGGTCCCTAGGCCTGGCCGATCAGGGCTCGGGGCCTTCCTTCCCCCGGCTGCCTGCTGCCACTGGCTGGG